TGTCTGAATTATGTTACTGAATATATTCTTGTTTTCCGGATGATGTGTAGGTTACATTAATAGAAAACAAGGAATTATCTTTAGTTCGTGCCATGAAAAGAAGTGATGAACTAGGTTTAACCAACATTTGGTTCATTCAAGCAAATATGGAGTATTTTACAGGGATGTTCAATATTGGGGTAAGTACTCAAACAATTTCAATTTCAAGTGAAAAATGATATGCCTTAGAGTAAGAAACTATTTTTTCTTGATCTTGATAATATAACATATTGATAAATATTAATGTATCCATAGTAATTCATCATTGCATAATGGAGATATTATTTGTTCCTCCAGATAAGAGCTTTATTTTGCACACTGCAGAATTTCCAGTGCCTTGAACAATGTTTGGCACAAAGAAAGTACATGCAAGTAAATAAATAAATAAATAAAAATGTAAATTTTTTTTTAAAAAAGAAAGTACATGCAAAATAGTTATTAATTGCATAACTGAATTCTAATTGAGGTGACTTGCCTTAGTTTATTCTGCATCATAAGGAAGCAAAGAGAAGCAAAACAAGCATGGCAATAATAGAAAAATAGGTGTTTAGTAACTTCTAAATAATAAGTTTCCTTTATAATAAATTTATGTAACCAAATTTTGAACTACATGTATTTTCTTTTTTTTACTACATGTATTTTCAATTTCCAAGACACAGAAAAATATTATTTTATGAATCCTTTACATCAAATTGATTGTCTCATATACGAATGTATGCTATTCTGCCAGCCTATATAAGATTTTGTAGAATGTGAAACCTTCATTAAAGTGTTTACCTGGTGGTACTGTGGGTTAGGCATTGGCCTGCTAACCACAAGGTTAGCGGTTCAAACCTACCAAACACTCCATGAGAGAAAGATGAGGCTGTGAGCTCCCATAAAGATTTGAGATCTTGGAAACCTACATGAGGTCACTATGAGTCAGAAACAATTCAATGGCAAGGAATTCCTGCTTTTTCGTTTTTATTTTAAATAATTTGTTTCCCCTCCCTGATGTGATAAGAATATATGAGCTTCCTGTATACAAATAGACAATGAAGAAATCACTGATTTCCACTACCCAAAGATACTTCTTTTTCAGTCTGGAAACTCTGCTGAAATCCTTTCACTTTGGGTGACCCTGCTGGCACTTGAAATACCAGTGACATAGCTTCCAGCATGACAGCAACACACAAACCACCACAGTATGATAGGCTGACAAGCAAGTAACAAACAATGTCATTAATATCACATGCAAATAAAATTTTGCTGAAGATCATCCAAGAACAGTTGTAGTAGTACATTGTCAAGGAGCTGCCAGAGGTTCGGGCTGGATTCAAAAGAGGGTGTGGAACAAGGGATAGCAATGCTGATGTCAGATGGATCTTGGCTAAAGGCACAGAATACCAGAAAGAGATTTACGTGTGTTGTATTGACTATGCAAAAGTATTTAACTATTAGACCAAAGCAAACAATGGATAGCCTTGAGAAGAATGAAAATCCTCAAACACTAACATTGTACTCATGTGGAACAAGTACATGGATCAAGAGGCAGTGGTGTCAACAGAACAAGGGCGGGCATACTGCATGGTTTAACATCAGGAAAGTTGTGTGTCAGGATTGCTTCCTCTCACCATACTTATGTAATCTATATGCTCAGCAACTAATCAGAGGAGCTAGATTATTTGAAGAAGAATGTGGCATAAGGATTGAAGGAAGGCTTATTAACAACCTGTATGAGATATGCAGATGAAACGATCTTGATTGCTAAAAGTGAGGAAGACTTAAAGAAGTTGCTGATGAAGACCAAGAACCGCAGCCTTCAGTATGGATCACAACTCAATGTAAAGAAAATCAAAATGTTCACAACTAGACCAGTAGGCAACATCTTGGTAACTAGAGAAAAGGCTGAAGTTGTTAAGATTCTCATCTTGTTCAGGTCCACAATCGAAACTTGTGGAAGCAGCAGTCAAAAGATCAAAGGATGCATTTCATTAGCTAACTCTATGGCACAAGAC